CTAGTGAGATGTGTAACGCTAGTGAGATGTGTAATGCTAGTGAGATGCGTAACACTAGTGAGATGCGTAACGCTAGTGAGATGCGTAACGCTAGTGAGATGCGTAACGCTAGTGAGATGCGTAACGCTAGTGAGATGCGTAACGCTAGTGAGATGCGTAACGCTAGTGAGATGCGTAACGCTAGTGAGATGCGTAACGCTAGTGAGATGCGTAACTCTATTGAGATGTGTAACACTAGTGAGATGCGTAACGCTAGTGAGATGCGTAACGCTAGTGAGATGCGTAACGCTAGTGAGATGCGTAACGCTAGTGAGATGCGTAACACTAGTGAGATGCGTAACGCTAGTGAGATGCGTAACACTAGTCAGATGCGTAACGCTAGTGAGATGCGTAACGCTAGTGAGATGCGTAACGCTAGTGAGATGCGTAACGCTAGTGAGATGCGTAACGCTAGTGAGATGCGTAACGCTAGTGAGATGCGTAACACTAGTCAGATGTGTAGCGCTAGTGAGATGCGTAACGCTAGTGAGATGCGTAACACTAGTGAGATGTGTAACGCTAGTGAGATGCGTAACGCTAGTGAGATGCGTAACGCTAGTGAGATGCGTAACACTAGTGAGATGCGTAACACTAGTGAGATGTGTAACGCTAGTGAGATGCGTAACACTAGTGAGATGCGTAACGCTAGTGAGATGCGTAACACTAGTGAGATGTGTAGCGCTAGTGAGATGTGTAACGCTAGTGAGATGCGTAACGCTAGTGAGATGCGTAACGCTAGTGAGATGCGTAACGCTAGTGAGATGCGTAACGCTAGTGAGATGCGTATCTCTATTGAGATGTGTAACGCTAGTGAGATGCGTAACGCTAGTGAGATGTGTAACGCTAGTGAGATGCGTATCTCTATTGAGATGTGTAACGCTAGTGAGATGCGTAACGCTAGTGAGATGTGTAACGCTAGTGAGATGCGTAACGCTAGTGAGATGTGTAACGCTATTGAGATGTGTAACACTAGTGAGATGCGTAACGCTAGTGAGATGTGTAACGCTAGTGAGATGCGTATCTCTATTGAGATGTGTAACGCTAGTGAGATGCGTAACGCTAGTGAGATGTGTAACGCTAGTGAGATGCGTATCTCTATTGAGATGTGTAACGCTAGTGAGATGCGTAACGCTAGTGAGATGCGTAACGCTAGTGAGATGCGTAACGCTAGTGAGATGCGTATCTCTATTGAGATGTGTAACGCTAGTGAGATGCGTAACGCTAGTGAGATGTGTAACGCTAGTGAGATGCGTAACGCTAGTGAGATGTGTAACGCTAGTGAGATGCGTAACGCTAGTGAGATGTGTAACGCTAGTGAGATGCGTATCTCTATTGAGATGTGTAACGCTAGTGAGATGTGTAACGCTAGTGAGATGTGTAGCGCTAGAGAGATGTGTAACGCTAGTGAGATACGTAACGCTAGTGAGATGTGTAACGCTAGTGAGATGCGTAACGCTAGTGAGATGTGTAACGCTAGTGAGATGCGTATCTCTATTGAGATGTGTAACGCTAGTGAGATGTGTAACGCTAGTGAGATGTGTAGCGCTAGTGAGATGTGTAACGCTAGTGAGATACGTAACGCTAGTGAGATGAGTAGCGCTAGTGAGATGTGTAACGCTAGTGAGATACGTAACACTAGTGAGATGAGTAGCGCTAGTGAGATGTGTAACACTAGTGAGATGTGTAACACTAGTGAGATGAGTAGCGCTAGTGAGATGTGTAACACTAGTGAGATGAGTAGCGCTAGTGAGATGTGTAACACTAGTGAGATGTGTAACACTAGTGAGATGTGTAACACTAGTGAGATGAGTAGCGCTAGTGAGATGTGTAACACTAGTGAGATGTGTAACACTAGTGAGATGTGTAACACTAGTGAGATGTGTAACGCTAGTGAGATGTGTAACGCTAGTGAGATGTGTAACGCTAGTGAGATGTGTAACACTAGTGAGATGTGTAACACTAGTGAACGCACCTGCAGGGACTCTCTGCTCCCCGTGAGTCGAGTGATGGGCCTCATGCTGCTCACCTTCGGGATGAACCGGATTCGGGATGTTACCGTGGTCTTCGGGAACTTCAGGGCCTGAGACGGAGACAGGGCCCTCCACTGGCCCTTAGACAGATGAACACTGACAACAAACAGATCAGGACCAGAATCAAACATTAGCACACTGATGAACATTTCTCAAAAATATAGCTCATTAAATACTTTTCAGAGTACAATAATATTAAACAAAACAGGTCATATTTCTCATTGCAGTTATACAATCAGGTTCAGAGAGTTTTAAATATTAAGCATTAATTAGATTCAGTACAAACAATACTACCAGTAGTACAATAATATATATAATATTTATAGAAAACATTTTAAAATAACTTTTCAAGTTGAATATATTCAGATTTAATATAAATATGCAAACATTAATATAAATATATATACAAGATTTGTGTGTGAAAATGAATATATTTAAATATACATTTTACTTATAACTTTATTTTAAATTTAAATAATTTTCAACTAAAGGAATATACAAAATAAAAAAAAAAATCTAAGTTTAAAGGAACTTATCTATATAGTAATAAATAAATAGTATAAAAACTAATTTTATTTACAATAATCAGAAGTGAGCAAAAATGTGCTTATTTGTCATTTAAAAAAAAACATAATCCAAAAAACTGGCTTCATTTAGGGTTTCTACTCTAATACGTTTTCTTATTTCTTCCGCCGTGTGGTGCGAGTCACATGACTGCTGCGCGCACCTGAAGGCCCTGTCCTGCAGTTTGCTCCAGACCTCAGCCCTGTAGAAGCGCAGTGCGTGCTTCTGTCCCATGCTCTCGGTGACGTAGAAGAGCGCTCGCACCAGGCCCACCACGAGCCCACTGAGCGTCCAGGCCAGGAACTGAGCGCAGATCCACTCCCTGTAGCGATGCTCACTGGCGCAGTGACCTACAGCAACACACACACACACTCACTGCAAGCCTCATCACGCTCTTTACTGACATACAGGCGACAACATTTAAAGTGGATCAAAAAATGAGGGACGACAAGAACGGGTATTGTTCAAAATTCATGTATAACTTTGATGAAAGGTTTTGATCCACTTCAAATGTTGACTACTGTACTAAGGGTTGGGATTCGAGTACTTGAGGTCAGGAATCCGATACTTGTTATAAAATAAAAATGTAGATTCCTCTTATCGATTCTTTTGTGAGCATTTCAATGTGAGTTTAAAGCATTCAAGCGAGAAACTCACACATGTATCAGTATACTGGATCAGTGCAGCTCTTAAAGTGACAGAAGCCTAATATTCCTCTGCCGTCTCTATTATAACACTAATCAAACGAAAATTCACTTGTTCTTGACTGAATAACTTTTGTTACTATATTTGTAATGTTTTATTAATAAACTTGTTATTTTACATTTGATTACAGTTTCAGTACCTGGAAATCTTAAAACACTGTTTAGTTGTGTCTATTTGCTGCGATTGCTCATTTTTTATTTATCCTTTTTTAATTGCTGAGTGTTTATTGTCTTTAATAACGCTTGAAGTGTACAGGTCCTTCTCAAAAAATTAGCATATTGTGATAAAGTTCATTATTTTCCATAATGTAATGATAAAAATTAAACTTCCATATATTTTAGATTCATTGCACACCAACTGAAATATTTCAGGTCTTTTATTGTTTTAATACTGATGATTTTGGCATACAGCTCATGAAAACCCAAAATTCCTGTCTCAAAAAATTAGCATATCATGAAAAGGGTCTCTAAACGAGCTATTAACCTAATCATCTGAATCAACTAATTAACTCTAAACACCTGCAAAAGATTCCTGAGGCTTTTAAAAACTCCCAGCCTGTTTCATTACTCAAAACCGCAATCATGGGTAAGACTGCCGACCTGACTGCTGTCCAGAAGGCCATCATTGACACCCTCAAGCAAGAGGGTAAGACAGAAAGAAATTTCTGAACAAATAGGCTGTTCCCAGAGTGCTGTATGAAGGCACCTCAGTGGGAAGTCTGTGGGAAGGAAAAAGTGTGGCAAAAGACGCTGCACAACGAGAAGAGGTGACCGGACCCTGAGGAAGATTGTGGAGTAGGACCGATTCCAGACCTTGGGGGACCTGCGGAAGCAGTGGACTGAGTCTGGAGTAGAAACATCCAGAGCCACCGTGCACAGGCGTGTGCAGGAAATGGGCTACAGGTGCCGCATTCCCCAGGTCAAGCCACTTTTGAACCAGAAATAGCGGCAGAAGCGCCTGACCTGGGCTACAGAGAAGCAGCACTGGACTGTTGCTCAGTTTTGCATGTCATTCGGAAATCAAGGTGCCAGAGTCTGGAGGAAGACTGGGGAGAAGGAAATGCCAAAATGCCTGAAGTCCAGTGTCAAGTACCCACACTCAGTGATGGTCTGGGGTGCCATGTCAGCTGGTGGTGTTGGTCCACTGTGTTTTATCAAGGGCAGGGTCAATGCAGCTAGCTATCAGGAGATTTTGGCGCACTTCATGCTTCCATCTGCTGAAAAGCTTTATGGAGATGAAGATTTCATTTTTCAGCACGACCTGGCACCTGCTCACAGTGCCAAAACCACTGATAAATGGTTTACTGACCATGGTATTACTGCGCTCAATTGGCCTGCCAACTCTCCTGACCTGAACCCCATAGAGAATCTCTGGGATATTGTGAAGAGAAAGTTGAGAGATGCAAGACCCAACACTCTGGATGAGCTTAAGGCCGCTATCGAAGCATCCTGGGCCTCCATAACACCTCAGCAGTGCCACAGGCTGATTGCCTCCATGCCACGCCGCATTGAAGCAGTCATTTCTGCAAAAGGATTCCTGACCAAGTATTGACTATTGAGTGCATAACTGAACATAATTATTTAAAGGTTGACTTTTTTTTTTTGTATTAAAAACACTTCTTTTATTGGTCGGATGAAATATGCTAATTTTTTGAGACAGGAATTTTGGGTTTTCATGAGCTGTATGCCAAAATCATCAGTATTAAACCAATAAAAGACCTGAAATATTTCAGTTGGTGTGCAATGAATCTAAAATATATGAAAGTTTAATTTTTATCATTACATTATGGAAAATAATTAACTTTATCACAATATGCTTATTTTTTGAGAAGGACCTGTATATTAGTTCGGCAAGTTGTGTTTAAACCGCAGGCAAACGCTGCTTGTGTAAGTGTTCTTTAGCTGATGATTTCTGCTCATGATATTCAGACACAATTACATGTTCTGCAACAAGACTAAATGTGAATGATATCCAAGTTTTTTTAACGTTATTGGAATCGCAATTAGGAATCGTAATTGATAAACAGAATCGAAATCGGTATCGTTAAAAATAAAAAAAAGTGATAAAAAAAATCAAACGATACCCAACCCTAGATATACTATCATAGTTTTTATTAATATTAGCAATTAACTAATTAAATTTTTTTTAGTAATTAGTTTGTCATTCTGTTGAGTATTTTTGTCATTTTTTAATATGCTTATTTTTAGTTATTTTAGTACTTCAAATAAATGAATGATGAACTTTGTCTTGGCAACTAGCTGAAATATAGTTTTTTAAAATTATTTCAAGTAATGAAAATGTTTTGTTATGGTTTTAGTTTTAGTAAACGATAACAAACCTGCATAACACAAAAAACATCCAGTATGTTTGGCTTCAAACAACCAAAGTTATAATAAATAATAGTTACGAATAAAGGCGTTAAAGACACACGTTTCTTGAGTCCCAGCCAATGGCAGGCCTTAACCTTCATCTTCCACATCAGCTGGTCCAACGGGAGGCGCTCAAATTTCCCAAGACGCAGGAAGTTCTTCACATTGGACAGGAAGTGAAGCCGATTTTCCTGGGTTCCCCAAAGTTCCTCAGGAACAACGTAAAGCAAACATTCCCTCACAAACAGATACACCCTGTACGCGGAGAAATGCGATTTGAGCAACGACTCCATGTCTTGCGCGTCTTGAGTTTCCGAGCACTTCCTGTTCAGGAACAAGCCGTACGGGCACTTCCTGTGCTGGCGTAAGAGTCGACTAAACAGGGGAACCATCGCGAAGAAGCGCTTTGGAAGTTTCTTCGGTTTACCCTGCGTGTTAAACTCTGATTGGAGGAAAATCATCCGAACGAGATCCACCCCTTGCAGACGTCTAGCCCCGCCCACATCTTTCAGTTTCCTGTTGAGCAGGAAGCTCTTCATGCCCCGCCCATTATAAAGCATGCTTAGAACGCGTATCGAGCAGTGTGACGGTCGAGGAGGGCGTTGCTCCGCGGGTTTCCAGCTCCGAGATCCGTGATTTGCGGTCGGCGGCCCGTCGGATTCATCCGTAATCACTTTTCGCTTCTTCATAACAGGATGTTTATCGTGCTTCTCGTCATCTCTTGCTCTCTTTTTCGAGTCTGTTAACGTCTTAGCATCTGTTGTGACCGTCTTAGCGTCTGTTGGGATCGTCTTAGCGTCTGTTGGGATCGTCTTAGCGTCTGTTGCACTCGTCTTAGCCTCTGTTGTGCTCGTCTTAGCGTCTCTTGCGCTCGTCTTAGCGTCTGTTGCGCTCGTCTTAGCGTCTGTTGCGCTCGTCTTAGCGTCTCTTGCGCTCGTCTTAGCGTCTCTTGCGCTCGTCTTAGCGTCTGTTGCGCTCGTCTTAGCCTCTGTTGCGCTCATCTTAGCGTCTCTTGCACTCGTCTTAGCGTCTCTTGCGCTCGTCTTAGCGTCTGTTGCGCTCGTCTTAGCGTCTGTTGCGCTCGTCTTAGCGTCTGTTGCGCTCGTCTTAGCGTCTGTTGTGACCGTCTTAGCGTCTGTTGCGCTCCTCTTAGCGTCTGTTGGGATCGTCTTAGCGTCTGTTGCGCTCGTCTTAGCGTCTCTTGAGCTCGTCTTAGCGTCTCTTGCAAAAGTCTTAGCATCTCTTGCGAAAGTCTTAGCATCTCTTGCGAAAGTCTTAGCATCTCTTGCGATCGTCTTAGCGTCTCTTGCGCTCATCTTAACATCTCTTGTGCTCGTCTTAGCATCTCTTGCAATCGTTTTCCGCGGGATACCGGGATTTTTCTGCGTTTGAGCCGAGACGTGGCTGAGGGAAAACCCGGACCATGCGCGCGGGATTAGCCGGTCGTACACGGGCTCTCCGCACACCTGAAGCAAACACGCGGGCGGGACGGTAGCGAACACGGCGCAGTCCTGTAGCAGGTGCCGCGTGACCTCGGTTCCCAGACGCTGGTTGATCCGCTTCCACAGCTCGCTAGTGCTGATGTACGCCGCCGTCTGCGAAACGTCTCCGTGGAACCGGAACGGATCCGAACAGGCCGTCACGTCATTGCACTGATAGCCGAATCCCAGGACGTTCCTCAGCTTCTTCCGTTTAATGTGGTTTAGGGTGAACGCCAGAACCTCCGGAAGCGTGCTGAGCTGAAACAAGACACATAATATATAATTCACAGTCACACCACAGACTGAACAACATGAAGCATTGCTTGGTCACTGGTTGGGCTAAACTGGTATTATCTAATTGTGTAGTAAAATCTAACAGCTGACAGATATTCAACATAATTCATGTGTGAGAGTCTAACAGAAGGGCGGACAAAACCAGTCAAATATCCACTGATCTGAGAACTCTGAGTTCGGCTCATATTTTATTACCATTTTTTAAACTATAGCAAATAAACTGTGATAATGTGAGAAATGTTGAAGGTGTCTAAATAAATTTTGATTTGACTGTATAAATATGGATTTTTATCCTTTATTAACCCACTGAAGCCTTATGGATTACTTTTATGATGGATGGATGCGCTTATTTGCGGTAAGGTACCATTCACTCCCATTATAAAACCTGAAAAAGGATATGTTTAACCCCTTAACTGGTTTTGCTACACTAACCATAGTTTAATCATGGTATTTGTAGTAAAACTGTGGTTATAAACAAGGTAATCAATCCTCCAAGAAACATGATTAAATCATTAAGTTAAGGAACTGACATGTAATCAAGCCAATAAAGCCTTTAATACACGACTTTCTAAAGCCTTTCTAATTAAATGATCAAAACTTTGCTGAAACCCCGGTTTGTTTTGATGTGTAAACAAACGAACTGTCAGAAAGTGTTGAGTGTGAGGTACCTGTGCGGGCACGCGCTGCTGCTGTGGTGCCGTGAACGCGCATATCATCAGTCCTCTGACGAGATTTTTAAACCGCGCTCCGTCTCTTTCCTCCAGCAGAGCCGGCTTCCGTCCATCAGAGAACACAAGCCCATCTGTGAACTCCTCCAGAGTCTGCACGACTGGGTATAACGAGCGCAAAATGCCAAATACATATTTAAAACCGCCATCTGTCGCGTCGCGTCGAGACATGAGTGTGTGTGTGTGTTTGGGTTTCCCGCTTCCGGCGTTTCGGTCGTCGCGCGCTGCATCTCCACCAATCAGTCATCTGTCACATGACCCTGATGTTAGGACGAATTAATACGCAAATTAAAGCTACGTTTCTTTTTCTTCTTCTTCGAAATAACTAGAATTTAAATAATGAGCGAGTACATAAAAAAAAATAAAAAAATCCAAACCGTGTTTTGACCCTATTTTTTACAGTCTATGGTTTTGACTTACCCTAAAATTACGTTTGATTTTAGAGCTGTCGGGGCGGATTTCCCGGGAAACTGTATATTTCCATCTTTCTTCTGTCATATCCGTGTAATTATATGTGCTAATTAATTGTAATTAAATTACTTTATAAGCATGTTAAATCAGTAAATAGCAAGCAGATTGTCAAAACAATATTATAACTAAATTATGACTTTACAACCACATAAACAAAATAAATGAGAAGAATGATAAATAAAAACGGTATTTAACAACAAATATTTGTAACATTTTATAATTGCATTTCATAATTTCACAAACTGAATATACTGTGTATATAGTAAATACATTTTAGTTTATTTTTAATTACATTTTTTGTTTATTATTATGCATTTTAGGCTTATTTTGAACACAGAGCACTTGCTTTTTGCAAAACATCATGGTTTTTGGACATTGTACTGGCATGATTTCTTGCAAATGAACCACAGTATTCTTTAAAGTATGATGTAAATACTTTTGTAAATAAATAAGAGAATCATTCAGTACCATGGTTTTGATACCATCGATGTACTATGGCACAGCAATAAGGGATTGTACGCAGCAAATGCTATTCGAATGCACTTTTTCATTGTCGGATAGATAAATTGTATTTGTTAATATTACTTCATATGCACTATCATTGAGATTGACCATGATTTACCATCACTGTACCATGGTACCAAGCATTTTTACCCACAATGCAATTTCAGTAGTTGAACTAAAACACAAAAACTCACTGTCTTGGTCTATAAACATGTTTATTAATATAGCATTAAAAAAGATGAGGCCGTTCACAGAGCCCAGAGTCCGTGTTAGACCATGAGGAGGTCAGCAGGAGGAGGTTTGAGAGGGATCTGACCCAGAGTAAAGCGTTTGCCTGTGAACTCCTTCAGTTCTTCGGCTGTCAGGTCACTCTGGGCCGTGAACAGACTGTCTCTTGAACTCCCAGCAGAATCTGCAGCTCCACTGAACACACCGCTGCTCTGACCGAAGCCACTGCCCGCGACCGGCGCCGAGGACCCGAACCCGGAGCCCAATCCTCCCGCAGACGTCTTGAAACTGAACCCGGCTGCTGAGCTGGGCTTATTTTCTGCAGCTTGTGGTGCAAAAGAAAAGGTGGTCACAGACGGAGCGGGACTGCCGAAACCCGGTGCCGTCTGAGCAGTGCTGAACACAGCGTCTCCAAACCTAGGTGCATTCTGGGTAGTATGTGAAGCTCCGAAGTCAGTTTTGGACGAGGCAAAGCTGAAGTTGCTGCTGCTCTGAGAGCCGGAACCAAACCCTGAGAAAACAATATAGTGGTTTACCAAAACATATAGGATAAAAAAAAAAAATATTTCCTATTTTCAAAGAGTTGATAGGTTTTATTTAAATTTACCGGCATATCAGCTCCAAACAATACAAAACATTTGATTAAATTTTAACTAGTGCTGGGCAATGATTAATCGCATCCAAAATAAAAGTCTGTGTTTACATAATATATGTGTGTGTACTGTGTATAATTATTTTGTATATATAAATACACACACGCATGTATACATTTAAGAAAAAAATTTTATTTATTTGTTTTGTTTTTTAACCTCTAGATAGCCAAAATCAGAGTGTACCTTTAACACTGTTATTATGATTAATAATAACAGTGTTTATTAATAATAACAGTGTTTTCCTGTTTATTACTGTGAAGAAATCCAGAACAAACCTCCTGCTCCAAAGCCAGATGTTGGCGTTGATGATGATGTGGTTCCAAACCCCGATGGTGTCGAAGCGAACCCCTGCGATGGTGTCGAAGCGAACCCCTGCGATGGCGTCTGGGAACTGGAGTTATTCAGCTCTGAGATCTGAGGACATCAATAACACGGTTCATTACACGGCTCTGTGGAATAGTCAAGTCGCCTTCATTTATACAGCGCTTTTAACAATATGGATCGTTTCAAAGCAGCTTGACAGTTATAATATTACAGTGGAAATTACAGTACATTGGAAATTACAGTAACAGATTGTTTTGGCTTTACATTTGAATACTTGATTCTGATTGGTCAATTGCTCTATCCAGCGGTGTGATATTCCTAGATAACAGCCGCTGAGAACAGAAACACAGGCTCATCCGGGTCACTGAAGACAGCAGCGATATACACTCACCTAAAGGATTATTAGGAACACCATACTAATACTGTGTTTGACCCCCTTTCGCCTTCAGAACTGCCTTAATTCTACGTGGCATTGATTCAACAAGGTGCTGAAAGCATTCTTTAGAAATGTTGGCCCATATTGATGGGATAGCATCTTGCAGTTGATGGAGATTTGTGGGATGCACATCCAGGGCACGAAGCTCCCGTTCCACCACATCCCAAAGATGCTCTATTGGGTTGAGATCTGGTGACTGTGGGGGCCATTTTAGTACAGTGAACTCATTGTCATGTTCAAGAAACCAATTTGAAATGATTGGAGCTTTGTGACATGGTGCATTATCCTGCTGGAAGTAGCCATCAGAGGATGGGTACATGGTGGCCATAAAGGGATGGACATGGTCAGAAACAATGCTCAGGTAGGCCGTGGCATTTAAACGATGCCCAATTGGCACTAAGGGGCCTAAAGTGTGCCAAGAAAACATCCCCCACACCATTACACCACCACCACCAGCCTGCACAGTGGTAACAAGGCATGATGGATCCATGTTCTCAGTCTGTTTACGCCAAATTCTGACTCTACCATCTGAATGTCTCAACAGAAATCGAGACTCATCAGACCAGGCAACATTTTTCCAGTCTTCAACTGTCCAATTTTGGTGAGCTCTTGCAAATTGTAGCCTCTTTTTCCTATTTGTAGTGGAGATGAGTGGTACCCGGTGGGGTCTTCTGCTGTTGTAGCCCATCCGCCTCAAGGTTGTGCGTGTTGTGGCTTCACAAATGCTTTGCTGCATACCTCGGTTGTAACGAGTGGTTATTTCAGTCAAAGTTGCTCTTCTATCAGCTTGAATCAGTCGGCCCATTCTCCTCTGACCTCTAGCATCAACAAGGCATTTTCGGCCACAGGACTGCCGCATACTGGATGTTTTTCCCTTTTCACACCATTCTTTGTAAACCCTAGAAATGGTTGTGCGTGAAAATCCCAGTAACTGAGCAGATTGTGAAATACTCAGACCGGCCCGTCTGGCACCAACAACCATGCCACGCTCAAAATTGCTTAAATCACCTTTCTTTCTCATTCTGACATTCAGTTTGGAGTTCAGGAGATTGTCTTGACCAGGACCACACCCCTAAATGCATTGAAGCAACTGCCATGTGATTGGTTGATTAGATAATTGCATTAATGAGAAACTGAACAGGTGTTCCTAATAATCCTTTAGGTGAGTGTACGCTCCCTAGGAAAGGGTTTTCTTCATGGAAGTTTTGCTTTTGGTGAGCTAATTAAATATTAAAACTCAGTCAAATCAATATTTTGTGTAGAGTAATTTAATTATGCCATCCTGTATTGTGGACTCGCTCTCTCTTGTTTCAAACAAACGCAGCGGCGGCCATTTTGTGACTATTGTTTTGTACACTGTTGGATTATGAGATACAAACAGGTACGATTTTAAAACAGTTTAATCTGAAATCAATATCTCTAATCTCCATAATTATTAATGTGGTGAAATGCTGTGTAATAAGTGTATGACTGTAAACCAGATCTCCTAAATGTTCCTCTAGTCTGAACTCGCCGCTGAAACTGCTCCGCGAAGCTTTGCGTTTAAAGACCTAATACAATATTTCAACTCAGATCAATATTTCGTGTCTTATTATTTACTTATGTGCAAGTAGCCGTGTAATAAGCGGGATAATGTACATCAAGCCGGTTGTTATCTCAGAATAAACCCCTTCAGGTGTGTGTGTGTGTGTGTGTGTGTCTCAGAATAAACCCCTTCAGGTGTGTGTGTGTGATCTCAGAATAAACCCCTTCAGGTGTGTGTGTGTGTGTGTGTGTGTGTCTCAGAATAAACCCCTTCAGGTGTGTGTGTGTCTCTCAGAATAAACCCCTTCAGGTGTGTGTGTGTGTGTGTCTCTCAGAATAAACCCCTTCAGGTGTATGTGTGTGTGTGTGTGAGATCTCAGAATAAACCCCTTCAGGTGTGTGTGTGTGTGTGTGTGATCTCAGAATAAACCCCTTCAGGTGTGTGTGTGTGTGTGTGTGTGTGTGTGTGTGTTTCTCAGAATAAACCCCTTCAGGTGTGTGTGTGTGTGTGATCTCAGAATAAACCCCTTCAGGTGTGTGTGTGTGTGTGTGTGTGTGTTTCTCAGAATAAACCCCTTCAGGTGTGTGTGTGTGTGTGTGTGTGAGATCTCAGAATAAACCCCTTCAGGTGTGTGTGTGTGATCTCAGAATAAACCCCTTCAGGTGTGTGTGTGTGTGTGTGTTTCTCAGAATAAACCCCTTCAGGTGTGTGTGTGAGATCTCAGAATAAACCCCTTCAGGTGTGTGTGTGTGTGTGTGTGTGTGTGTGTGTGATCTCAGAATAAACCCCTTCAGGTGTGTGTGTGTGTGTGTGTGTGTGTGTGTGTGTGTGTGAGATCTCAGAATAACCCCTTCAGGCTGACGAAGACCTGATCCTGATCACCCTGTCGGGTTTATTCTGATAGAACAACCGGCTGGATGTACATTATCCCTTACTTAAACTCCTTCCGTCCATCCGGTTTAATGCAAGTGAGAAACATCATCTTACCACACTGATCTGGGTGGAGCTGCTCATGGTCCGCAGCTCCTGAACTCTGCTACTCCATTGGTTGGCCAGCAATTGGACTGAGTTCACCTGAAACACCACACAGGATTACATGAGATGCTCAGATTCAGCATCATGGGAAATAAAGTCTCTTGAATCTGCTCATTCATTAAAGAAGTAAAGTGGTAATCTTACATAAGGCTGTATATCACCAGACGCTCGGCAGGAGTAATATTCCTGTCTCAGCTCCTCTGGAGACAAGTCAACAAACCCTGCAAAATATCAAGAATAATATGAATAAGATTAACAAATATAAAGATAAAAACCTCCCGTTGTCGAACTGCAAAATAATGCAGGAGCTTAGTGCCAGCAGCAGGTCATGTTTGTCAGACATTTTCTCATTTGTCTGCAAAACCTAGCAGCTCATATTTACTTGAAAGGTAAAAGACTGACAGACTGTGATGAGTCTGTGTGCTAAACTGACCTGAGATCTGGCCGTTGTGGACCGAATAACATGAAAACAGCCACTGACCAGAAGTCTGCCAGACCTCCATGTCTGTCTGGATTGTATCCCTGAAATACAAATATGCATGTGTATCAATGATCTCTTTATACAGTGCATCCGGAAAAGTATTTACAGCGCTTCACTTTTTCCACATTTTGTTATGTTACAGCCTAATTCCAAAATGGAAGGTACAATAAATGACGTACAACCCAGAAGCGCTGCGCTGTTACACTACATGAACTCACTCGAGGCCCACAGAGAGGAAAATAAATAGTTGAATGAAGTCGTTATTTTTGTGTTTTTTTGCGCACAAAAAGTGTTCTCGTCGCTTGATAAACTTAAGGTTGAGCCACTGTAGTCACTCGGACTATTTTAACGATGGCTTTAATAACTTTTCTGGACAGGCAAGTTTCAATCCCTTAGGAGTGAGACAGCTCTCAGATGTAATCAAAAATATCTTAATTTGTGTCCTGAAGATGAACGAAAGTCTTACGGGGTTGGAACAACATGAGGGAGAGTAATTACTGACAGAACTTTCATTTTTGGGTGAACTATCCCTTTAAGCTCCATCATATTGGATGGGGAGTGTCGGTGCACAGCCATTTTCAGATCACTCCAGAGATGTTCAATCGGGTTCAAGTGTGGGCTCTGGCTGGGCCACTGAAGGACATATCCAGCCGGTTGTTATCTCAGAATAAACCCCTTCAGGCTGATGACATTCACAGAGTTGTCCCGTAGCCACTCCTGTGTTATCTTGGCTGTGTGCTCAGGGTCGTTGTCCTGTTGGAAGAGGAACCGTCGCCCCAGTCTGAGGTCCAGAGCGCTCTGGAGCAGGTTTTCATCAAGGATGTCTCTGTACATTGCTAAACTCATCTTTCCCTCGATCCGGACTAGTCTCCCGGTTCGTGCCGCTGAAAAACCTCCCCACAGCTGATGCTGCCCCCACCAGGCCTCACTGTAGGGACGGTATTGGCCAGGTGATGAGCGGCGCCTGCTTTCCTCCAGACATGAAGCTTGCCATTCAGGTCAAAGAGTTCAATCTTTGTTTCATCAGACCAGATCATTTTGTTTCTCAACATGTGCCGTGTTTCCACCGAAATTACCCGGAACAATTTGTCCCAGGAACTTTTTTTCCAGAAACTTTTCCCCTCCCAGACCTGTTGCTACCCGTGTTTCCACCACGGTCTAAAGTAGAGTGAAGATTAGGCAAATTACTCCGGTGACGTAAGACTGCACGCTACTTTACAGTTCCCGCTGGATTTCTTCCTCTAAATTTAAGCTTAATATAGCCTGAACCTCGTCGTTGGTCCATCGGTCGTATTTTTTAAACTCCATTGTTGATTCGAATAGCAAACAACTGTTACTGCATCAAATGTTACATAAAATAAAATTCTGCGTGGAGTCAACCAATCAAAATGCGGCATGAACTCAACCAATCAGCATGTTCAGCACCCAAGCCCCAACCCTGAAAGTTCCTGAACTTTGAAAAGGTACTACCTCGGAAGAAGGGACTTTCGGAGGGGGAAATATTTACCAGGAACTTCATTTAGATTTAAATTCATCCTGGGGAAAGTTCCTGTGGTGGAAACACACCGAGTACCATCCCAAAGTCCCTAGTTCCTGGGGAAAGTTCCTGTGGTGGAAACACACCGAGTACCATCCCAAAGTCCCTAGTTCCTGGGGAGAGTTCCTGTGGTGGAAACACACCGAGTACCAGCCCAAAGTCCCTAGTTCCTGGGGAGAGTTCCTGTGGTGAAAACACACCGAGTACCAGCCCAAAGTCCCTAGTTCCTGGGGAGAGTTCCTGTGGTGGAAACACACCGAGTACCAGCCCAAAGTCCCTAGTTCCTGCGGAGAGTTCCTGTGGTGGAAACACACCGAGTACCAGCCCAAAGTCCCTAGTTCCTGGGGAGAGTTCCTGTGGTGGAAACACACCGAGTACCAGTCCAAAGTCCCTAGTTCCTGGGGAGAGTTCCTGTGGTGGAAACACACCGAGTACCAGCCCAAAGTCCCTAGTTCCTGGGGAGAGTTCCTGTGGTGGAAACACACAGAGTACCAGCCCAAAGTCCCTAGTTCCTGCGGAGAGTTCCTGTGGTGGAAACACACCGAGTACCAGCCCAAAGTCCCTAGTTCCTGGGGAGAGTTCCTGTGGTGGAGACACACCAAGTACCAGCCCAAAGTCCCTAGTTCCTGGGGAGAGTTCCTGTGGTGGAAACACACCGAGTACCAGCCCAAAGTCCCTAGTTCCTGGGGAAAGTTCCTGCTGTGGAAATACACAGAGTACCACCCCAAAGTCCTTCAGGTGCCTTTTGGCAAACTCCAGACGGGCTGTGTACCTTTAACTGAGGATTGGCCTCCGTCTGGCCATTCTACCTTATACAGGCCTAAATTTGGTGGAGAGCTGCAGAGATGGTTGTTCTTCTGGAAGGTTCTCCTCTCTCCACTGTTACCTCATTTCCACCCAAAAAGAACTGGTTCGGAACGGGTGCTGGTTCAAAGTTGGTTCAACTTGCGAACCTTCTCAGAACCTGTTTGTTTTTTCACTGACTAGAGAGCCCAGCGACCGACGTAGTTACGTCACTGTGTACGTCGTCATACGTCTTAGCTTTCCCATTCCCGTCGTGTTGTTGGTCACAATAACCCCGCCCCCAACGTAAGCATGACGTGGTGAAAGAACGGATCTAGCCCAGGAAAGAGTTGATGCCTCTTTGGAACCAATTTTCCTGGCCGAGAACCAGTTCTTTGGCTGTCGAAACACAAAGAACTGGTTCGCGAGTAGGCACCGGCTCCGAACCGGCTCTCAAAATGCTTTGGCGGAAAAGGGGTAAAGAAACGATGGAGCTCTGTTAGAGTGATCATCGGGTTCTTGGTCTCCTCCCTGACTAATGCCCTTCTCCCCTGATCGCTCAGTTTGAAAAAAAATTCAGGTCTAGGAAGAGTCCTGGTGGTCCCAAACTTTTTCAAATTGACGGATGATGGAGACCACTGTGCTCATTGGGACCTTCAATGCTGCAGAAATTTTTCTGTACCCTTCCCCAGATCTGTGCCTCGGTACAATCCTGAGACACAATTCCTTGGGCTTGGTTTGTGCTCTGACATGCACTGTTAACTGTGGGACCTTATATAGACCGGTGTGTGCCTTTCCAAATCATGTCCAATCAACTGAATTCACCACAGGTGGACTCCAATCAAGTTGTAGAAACATCTCAAGGATGATCAGTGGAAAAAGGATAACCCTGAGCTCAATTTTTTGAGTGTCATGGCAAAGGCTGTGAACAATTACATGTGATTTTTCCGTTTTTTATTTTTAATAAATTTGCAAAGATTTCAAACAAACTTCTTTCACGTTGTCATTATGGGGTATTGTTTGTAGAATCTTTAGAAAAATAATGAATTTAATCCATTTTGGAATAAGGCTGTAACATAACAAAATGTGGAAAGAGTGAAGCGCTGTGCATACAAGCAGTCCCCCCAAAAAATGCATAAGCGTAAACTGCACTTACACATGTTTTGCATTGTCATCCGTTGAGTTTTGTCCAGCTTTATCAAAGTTGCTCTGAGAGTCAAGCGCTGAGAATCTGTTCTGGTTGCTGAAGCTGAAGTTAGAGCTCTTGATGTCTCTGGACGCCCCGCCGCCTCTGTTCCAATCATTCCCGCCACTTCTGTTCCAGTCATTACCGCCACTTCTGTTCCAGTCATTAGCGCCGCCTCTGTTCGAATCATTACCGCTGCCTCGGTTCCAGTCATTACCGCCGCCTCGGTTCGAATCATTACCGCCACTTCTGTTCCAGTCATTACCGCCGCTTCTGTTCCAGTCATTACCGCCTCCTCTGTTCGAATCATTACCGCTGCCTCGGTTCCAGTCATTGCCGCCACCTCTGCTCCAGTCATTACCGCCGCCTCTGTTTGAATCATTACCGCCACGGGAGAATGAGGAGGGCTGGATGAACTCGCCCCCAGTCCGTTGAGATGGGTTTATCCACACGCGGTTCCCATAGCCTGGAACAACATGTCACTTTGGTCACTGCCGTTAACATTCACAAATTGTTAAAAAAATGGTATAAGTTATTACTGGGAGCTAAAATACACTATATTGCCAAAAGTTTATGGACGTTGCTTTGTGCACTGGTGCGCAGTCATGCTGGAACAGGAACATCCCCAAACTGTTCCCTCAAAGTTGGGAGAATGAAATTGCCCAAAATGTCTTGGTATACTGAAGCACTAAGAGTTCCTTTCACTGGAACTAAGGGGCCAACCCCTGAAAAACAACCCCACACCATAATCCCCCCTCCACCCAACTTTACACTTGGCACAATGCAGTCAAGCAAGCATCATTCTCCTGCCAAACCCCAAACCCAGACTCGTCTATCGGATTGCCAGACAGAGAAGCGTGATTCGTCACTCCAGAGAACACGTCTCCACTGCTCTAGAACCAAGTGGCGGCTTGCTTTACACCACTGCATCCCACGCTTTACCCCACTGCATCCCACGCTTTACACCACGCTTTACCCCACTGCATCCCACGCTTTACACCACTGCATCCCACGCTTTACCCCACTGTATCCCACGCTTTGCACCACTGCATCCCACGCTTTACACCACTGCATCCCACGCTTTACCCCACTGTATCCCACGCTTTGCACCACTGCATCCCACGCTTTACCCCACTGTATCCCACGCTTTGCACCACTGCATCCCACGCTTTACCCCACTGTATCCCACGCTTTGCACCACTGCATCCCACGCTTTACACCACTGCATCCCACGCTTTACCCCACTGCATCCCACGCTTTACACCACTGCATCCCACGCTTTACCCCACTGTATCCCACGCTTTGCACCACTGCATCCCACGCTTTACCCCACTGCATCCCACGCTTTACCCCACTGCATCCCTCCTGAGAGCGACCCATTCTTTCACAAATGTTTGTAGAAGCGTCTGCATGCCTAGGTGCTTTATTTTATACTGAGGCCAAGGAAGTGATTGGAACACCTGAATTCAATGATTTCGAGGGGGGTCCCAATACTTTTGGCAATATAGTGTACTTATGGCATTGTTTTACATTTTAATATACCAGTGAAAAGTTTGGACACACTTTTGATCACCATCTGATCTCAAGGTGTATATATAAGATTTTTGTTGACAAATATAATTACTGCCTATGTCATATATAGACATATACATTTGCAATTAAATTTATTCAACCCCCATTGCAAATCAGGCTTATTGGCAAAATGTACTTTCAGCTGTTTGCAATGAACAAATAAAAAAAAAAGTAATTGAAATACCTCAACACAACAAATGTTTCAAGTGGTTTCCCTAAATTTAACTGAAAATGCAACTTTTAATGACTTCTGCAGTTTCAAAATTATTCAACCCCCTGATTAGAATCCCTCACAAGAGCACAAATCTGCAAAAAAGGTATTGTCTCACTAATCAAGGGCTTCATTAGTTGCAACAGGTGTGCTTGAGCTAGAACACACAAAATACCTTTTAGGCCCTATGGATCAGCGGTATGTCTGGAGGAAGAAGAATAAAGCATATATGCTGAAATGAACATGTTAAGCATGATGGGGCTCGTGATGCTCTGCGGCTGATTTATATCCTCCGGCACTGGAAACCTGCAGCGTGTGGAAGGCAAGATGGATTCATTGAAGTATTAGGAAATCCTAGGAGAAAACATCATGCCGTCAGTGAGGAAGCTGAAGATTGGACCTTCAACAGGACAACGATCCCAAGCACACCTCAAATCCCACCAAGGCTTGGTTGCAGAAGAAGTCATGGAAGATACAGTGGCATCACAGTCTCCTGACTCGAACCCCATAGAAAACCTCTGGAGGGATTTGAAGAAGCCGCTTGCAGCACACAAACCCAAGAATATCCCTGAACTGGAGGCCATTGCTCATGAGGAACGGGCTCAGATTCCTCAGAATCTGCTGTCTGGTTCTACATCTCATTTGCAGCAGGTCATAAGAGCAAAAGGTTGTTCTACTCAGTACTAAAGATGCTTGCCATGAAGGGATTGAATAATTTTGAGACTGCCGAAGTCATTAAAAGTTGCATTTTCAGTTGAATTTGGGGAAACCACTCGAAACATTTGTTGTGTTGAGCTTTTTCAATAACTTTAGTTTGATTTGTTTGTAAACAGCTGAAAGTCGGTAGATTTTGCTAATAAACCTGATTTGCAATGGGGGTTGAGTAATTTCGATTGCATATAAATACATATAGACCAGGGATGGAAATTAGCACCCGCCACCAGCCAAATGCGGGTGATTTTGTGTTGTGGCGGCGGGTAAACTCGCTTCACCTACCGGCCACCGTGGCGGGTAAATAAAAATAGCATACTGTTTCACCCGGACGGCGGACACTTTTAGAGGAGGCACACCTTCAAACAAAATGTGGCGTTACATCGCAGGCGTAGAGGTCTGCAGAGAAAACATCATGGTGCGTTCACACCAGACGAGAATAGAGCGTCTGGCGCGAGTGATTTCAATGCAAAGACGCGTTACGCGCGTAAAAAATTCCTGCGGCGCGAATGAGGTGTAGAGCGCGCCGTGGTAGATGCGAATACGCCTCATTCGCGCGGCAAGTTCGAGCGTCTGACGCGTTCCGCGCGCATGATTTTATTGAGTGCTTTTGTGCATTCACGCGTTTGACGCGAATTCGCGTCTGCCGCCCGAGTTGAAAAATCTGAACTTTAGCGTCAATTCGCGCCGCGTTAACCAATCAGGAGCCTAGCTGCTGTCACGTGGTGAAGTATCTGGATGCTTCAATAAATTATTTTGTACTAAATGCCTGATGTGGTTCTAATGCACAACAAAGCAAATATTTTATCACATAAAACTTGATTTCAATATATGAGACATATTCATTTTGTATTGAATGCTATTTATTCCATTTCATATCTAGATTATATTAAATATTATTCTAATATAAAGGCAACCAACATACTATAGCTCATAAATCCGTGTGTGGAGAGTGTTGTGTGAGAGAAAAAAAAATCACAGGACAGGTTAATTACTTTTGGAGGCTGGCTCAATTTATCATCAAAACAAAAATAAATGACAGATTAGGTGGATGAGGCCGAGGGTGAGAGAAAGAGAAAATGTCAGTATTTAATTGAGACTTGAGATTAAATGAACTGCTTAAGTATTCTTGTAGTATTAATTTTCACATGCAGTTACACATTGTCGGTTAAAAACAAGAAAGTGGCTGGTAAAAACATTGAGTGGCTGGTAGATTTTGAAATCCACCAGCCACAGTGGCCGGTGGACAAAAAAGTTAATTTCCATCCCTGATATAGACCATAGTATTTACACAGAATTTACCTTGTGAAAACACTTTTTTAAAAAGAGTACTTATTACAGATTTAAATTTGAAAGAATATACTTAAATGTGAACTGAATTTAATGTAAAGTGCATGTCATTTGCAAATCTAATGAAAATGTATTTATTATTAAATCCAGATATTTGAACTTTACGACTCACTTAAGTACATCGTTATACGCAAATAATAAAGTTGATAATAATAAATGTTATATCAAAAACACTACAGTTAAAATTATGATTAAGTACTTTACATGTGCTTAACTATGTTAGTCAACACATTCAAATGAATACTTATTTACACTTAAAAACAGGAAAAAAGATTATTAAAATTTGCTTTAAAGTAAAACGTTTCATTTTACATGATTACAAAGTGTTCTTAAGTGTGTTAAGAAACAGTTATGGAAGTACAGTTAAGCTGCCTTTCATAGCATTAATATTATATTATATAAGACTTGAAGTACACATTCAAAGTGTTACCAGCATTATATAGTGTCCAAAAACGATGTAATCTCGATGGTGATATAGTAGTTTTGTAAGAGACAGGATGCTATCTTGCTCATGAACCACACAATCCAGTGAACTGAGAGTGTGAGAGTGTGTGTTTATGTTGACCTCCTCTGCTGGGTTGTTGTTGCTGCTGGTTTCCTCGATTATCTCCTCCTCTTCCTCCTCTCGGATGCTCATTCCAGCATTTATCTCCGTATCTACAGCGACCTTGAAGAAAGAAGCTGCACACTGCCATTTTTAAACTCTATAGACAGAAATCATGTGCTGTTGTGGTACAGTACAGAGCTTGACGCGGCTCCTCAAACGACGCGCACCAGCGTGACGCAAGGCGCACATTTTGCACGTAAACAAACTGTTTCAAAATAAAAGTCTTGATGCGGCGCTTCAAACAGCGTTTAAAGTCCCCCTATAGTCAATCATTTTATCCCTTGAAACTCATATTTGAACGTTTTTTTCCTTAAAAACTGCAGTTTTAAGGAGAAAATACTCAGCGATGGTGTTGACTTTGTACATGGTTTGTCTTAAAGCATATTAAAAACACCACACAGACAGATAAACAACATTAAAAGCTGGATTTTCACCACAGGGGGACTTTTCTTTTTTTTGGAACATTTTTCACATGAAATAAGGATCTAAACAAGGCTTTAAGTGGATTAATTTAATTTGTGGGTAAGAACTGTTTTCTGTTTTTATTTTTTTTATTTTTTCAAAAAATGTGTAGTTAGAAACTTTAAAGGTAGTAGTAGTAATAATAATAAATACCTTTCTGAGAATAACTCAATTGTTCTCTAAAATGCTTGGCATGATAGCAATGACAGCAGAACTGAGGACCGGTTTTGGTTTTAGAAAGTCACTAAATGTAAAGAAATATAAAATGAACCAAACCTAAAAGGATGCAAAGTATTTTTTTCTGATTTTAACTTTTTATACCTTTATTTAAAAGGTCAAGTTAAGAAGTCATGGTGAGGTGCACGATATAAAAAACATTGGATATTCTTTAAAAAAAAGAAAAGTATTTTAAAAAAATTGTAAACATTATTTCTAAACGTGGCACATTATTGCTATAGAAGATAATGTGTGTTATTTAAATGTTATTTTTAAAGTTATAGTGTCAGTGTGATTGAGATTATACTACAATAAACAAACACTAATAAATTTGTTATACAGTATTGGAGTTCTCTAGGGCTAGGCTATGAGTTTCTAGCCTAAATTAAATTTAAATCGAGTTTTATTAATTATAAATTACTCAATGTATGAATTGCACAATATTTGAAACGAATTAAAGCTATTCAAATGTTCTCTCTGGCATTTTGGTACTCAATTTAGGGGTATTTGCATAACTTCAGCCATAAACACATTTGTGATGCTTGCAAATGTAACATTTTCACTTAAATGACATTTAAACACATTTGCTCCGCAATCATCTATTCAGATCAGGTTTTCAAAACGTTTTTACAACGCAGTTCCCGGTTAATAAAGGTGTGCGTGAGACTCGTGCAGTTATCGACCAACAGCGACGCTGGTGACGTCATATAAGCAGACATCAGTTCAGGAGGCATCCGCCAATCAGACATCAGTTCAGGCGGCATCCGCCAATCAGCGTGCGAGGTGACGCACGCGGAGCATGGAGTTACTTGATAGACACGCCAAATTGACCAATGAGCGGCTTGTTCACATCACGCGGGGGCGGAACCCTGTGAACGGAGACGGGCAGGTATTAAAGTTTATCGGGATATCAGTGTCAGTGAGATGCCAGTGGAGCTCAGCGGTCTGTCAGTATCTCCCGCTCTTCACCTTCGGGAAACTTCTTTTTATATAGTTCATTAAACCAGCCAGTAAGATGACGATCCTGGAGGCGAGCAGTGTGCTGATCGAGAAGACCGTTGAGAGGATGAGTGTGACGTCACTGCTGCTGGCGGCATCGGTGTTCACGCTGTCTCTGGCGTACCTGAGGAAACTCATGAGCAGACAACAGCTCGCGGAACAGGATGTGAGTGCATATGAATATGATTATAATACAATCATGCAGTGCGAGATTTATGGCAGTGTTATGCATTCAGAATTTCTGTGTGGTGCAGTAATGTGTCCATAAGAGTGCTGCTGTCTATTGTGTCATCTATAAAGTGAATAAAAGCACGTCATCTATCTGTCTATTGTGCTTTTTATTCATTTGTTTATCTATCCATCATTCTGAATATCTATCATTCTATCTCTCTATTCATTGTTCTATCTATTTGTCTATTGCTCCATCGTTCTGTTCTATTAATTTCATTCATCTATTCATCATTCCTTCCATCTATCTATCCCTTTCATTCCATCATTCTATCTATCCATCTATCCTCCCATCATTCTATCTATCTATCCATCATTCTATCTATCCTCCCATCATTCTATCTATCTATCCATCATTCTATCTATCCTCCCATCATTCTATCTATCTATCCATCATTCTATCTATCCATCGCTCCTATCTATCCTTCCATCATTCTATCTATCCTTCCATCTATCCTTCCATCATTCTATCTATCCATCGCTCCTATCTATCCTCCCATCATTCTATCTATCCATCATTCTATCTATCCTTCCATCATTCTGTCTATCCTTCCATCATTCTATCTATCCTTCCATCATTCCTTCTATCTATCGTTCCTTCTATCTAGCTATCTATCCATCATTCTATCTATCTATCCATCATTCTGTCAATCCTTCCATCATTCCTTCTATCTAGCTATCCATCATTCTATCTATCCTCCCATCATTCTATCTATCTATCCATCATTCTATCTATCCTTCCATCATTCTATCTATCCATCGTTCCTTCTATCTAGCTATCTATTATGCCTTCTATCTATCCCTTTCATTCCATCATTCCTTCTATCTATCCTTCCATCATCCTATCTATCTCTTTCATTCCATCTATCTATCCTTCCATCATTCTATCTATCTTTCAATCCTTTCATCGTTTTATATATTGTTCATTCTATATATCCTTCCATCATTCGTTCTATCTATCTATCTATCATTCCATTGTTCCATCTATCAATCAATCTCACACACATATTTACATTTACATTTATTCATTTAGCTGACGCTTTTATCCAAAGCGACTTACAATTGCTATATATGTCAGAGGTCGCACGCGTCTGGAGCAGCTAGGGGTTAAGTGTCTTGCTCAGGGACACATTGGTGTCTTGCAGTGCATTCGAACCCGGGTCTCTCACACCAAAGGCATGTGTCTAATCCACTGCGCCATCACCACCCCTAGGTTCATATAAAGGTTGATGTCAGTTTCTGTCCTTCCCTCAGAAACTCCCTCCTCATATCCCGTCCAGCATTCCCTTCCTGGGTCACGCCGTGGCTTTCGGCCGGAGCCCGATCGAGTTCCTGGAGGCGGCGTACGAGCAGGTGAGCGCCGACACTGGAGACACGTGTGGAGGAGCACTGATCTGACCTGACCTGATGTTGTTGTGTCTCAGTACGGGCCCGTGGTCAGCTTCACTATGGTGGGGAAGACCTTCACGTATCTCCTGGGCAGCGACGCAGCCGCGCTCATGTTCAACAGCAAGAACGAGGACCTGAACGCCGAGGACGTGTACGCGCGCCTCACCACGCCCGTGTTCGGCAAGGGCGTCGCGTACGACGTGCCCAATCCGGTAAGATCCCGCAGACCTGGAAAACCACAGCACTTCAACATGTGGATCGACAAGCTTTTGATATTTATACAGTCAATATTAAAATATATTTGTTCCACCAGCTAGAAATTACTTTTTGTGGGTACAATCTAAATTAAATATTTTCAAATACTTAATGTAAAAAATTATCGTGATTTTAACGGTAAAAGAAAACCTGTTAATAGGCTAACAGAAAGTTTCCGTACTGTATACAGTGAATAACTGTGATAGATCTAACCGTACATTTAATATAATTTTACAGTAAAATATGAAAAGGAACAAGTCACTGTATAATTTACAGTAAAAACCGTAAATTGACATTCGCACAATTCCCTGCGTAACACTAAACATTTGATGTATTTTTGTTGAAATAACTGTTTCTTCATAGTTTGTTCTAATCAGTTATGTAACTTAGAGTTTGTTACATTTATTGTTGTTAAATTAATGCTTATTGCGTTTTTAAAATTTCATGTGTCACCATGATGGTGATTAGTGTGTGTGTGTGAATGACTATGTGCCGCTTCTGTTTAATACTGTTAAGTTTCTTGTGGAAAAGCTGTTTGTGATGATCTTTGATTGATCATGTGACTCTTCTCCACTGTGATTGGTGGTTGTCAGTGTATTACAATGGTACAAAACAAATATTAATACTTCAATAGATCAGTAAATTAACATTATATCAGATAGTAAAATACATTTTACTGTAAATTTAAGTTAAGTCTGTTGAACCTAAAATGTTCCTACCGTATTTTTTACAGTAAATATCTGGCAACCACAGCTGCCGGTTTTTTTTTACTGTAAATTGAACCAAATTTTTTTTACAGTTTAGACATGTACAATTCAACACAGAAGCATGGGATGTGTTTGGGCTTCGTTTCGGAGACGGCTCACTGGTTCCTGTTATCGAAGACACTGACGTTGTTTGAGCTCTGAACGGCTGCATTTCTCTTTCCTTCATCGCTGATGTGATTGTGTTTGTTCATTCAGTTATTTCTGGAGCAGAAGAAAATGCTGAAGACCGGACTGAACATCGCACAATTCAAACAACACATCGAAGTAATCGAAGAAGAAACCAAAGATTATTTCAAACGATGGGGAGACAGTGGGGAGAAAAGTGAGGAGACTGTTTCTTTTCCTTTACAATATCACGCACTGATGAATGCTTCACAATAAGTCCAGGAACATCTATTAAACGGCAGCAATTCTGCTGTTTTCCATCAGTGTTCAGTGTGTAATGTTGCGGTTTGATCATGAGAAAGCTCCAGTTCTTCTCTATATCAGTGTCAGTGTTTCTGAACTCCTTAAACGCCTCCATTGTAGTCTTGAGTTTCTTCGAGTAGCCCCAGAGTGCAGTCTGGACGATGGGGCGGGGCGACACTTTTAGGCGGGGCGACACGTGTCGCTCCGCCCACACCCGATTTTATTGGTTTATAATACAGCAATCTTATTGGCATAGACGCTTGAGGCACGAGCATGCGCATTCCTTTATGTACGAGTTTATGAATGATCTATGACGCTGTTTGGCCGTACTATATTAAGTGATAACCATTGCGATTTCAGTAACGATCAATTGGATAATGTTTTGATGAACTTACGAATCAAGTTAGATGAAGTTACTGTCAAAATGTATTCACAATTCACATCGTTTCAAAGCAGCTTTACAAAAAGTCATATTGTAAGCTTTAATATTGAGCAGTTTTATGGCTTGGCGATATCACAAAATATGTTGCTGATAAATAATACACTGTTTAAGATTTAGCCTAGCTATAGGCTAGGCTACTATATTAATTTACCCTGCAGATAAGTCAGTGCCACTTTTGATGGGCAATGAGCATGACTGCATGAAATTACTGGCAGATCAAAGGAGAGATCATTTCTATGTGGGCTGATTCTGATTTAGACAATATTTTTCCGCATGTCATGCAGAGCTCCTTAATTTTACATCATTCGTGCTTCTTCGTTTTCCCATTAGGATCAGTGAATAAACACAAACTCGGGATTTTACACAAATTATGATAATTCCCTGTATTTCAGTAACACAAAGGATAAATACGAAAGTGTGTTTTATTTTATTTTAAAGCAAAACCACGGTGACAAATAAGACAGGCTACCAAATAGCAAGCCCTGGCCATTGGGTTATGTGCGTACAATGGGAATAAAATCCGTGCAGCGCTGCAATGTAAATATAAATAAATAAATGTTTGTTTGTTTTTTGGTGTGTTTTTTTACTAAAACAAATGTTATGTTGATCTATAGCAAATATTATAATGTGGGCTATGTGCTCAAGAGCGTATTTAAGCAATTGGCCTACATGTTCATATCACTTCTCTGCTGGGTGTGTTTTATTTATTTTATTACAGCCTATTATAATTGCACAGATTTATAGCAGCGTGTTTTTTTATGGTTATGCAGCTAGCCTATATGTGAGTGTTAATATTTGTAACTATTTTAATCCAGTAGCCTATACATGAACATGAACACGCAATGCGATGGTGGATGAATAAACAATTGGATTTTTAATATACCTGATGTCACAGTCACAGATAGACAGTCGTACATAACCGGTTGACACTTATTAGAAAACATGAATCTTTAAAAAATATAACATAGGGCTTTACAGAACCAATAGGCCCTCATATTGTATGAACAGGTAATCAAGCAGGAAACGTGTTTGCCATTAAACATTTTATTTGCACTTTGTACCAAATAATGCAACCATTGGACAATCTCGTTAAAAAAATGACAACAAAAAACGGTCATGCTTTAGAATTTAAAATCAGCTGCTTACATTCTTACAGTCAATTATCATCATTTGAAAACTTTGTAAAAGAGCAGAATAGGTCCTCTTTAAGAGCCATAAACACCTGAACAGGAATTGCAGACAGTATTTATAGTGTTCAACGCTCTCTCTTCAGATCTGTTCGAGGCGTTATCCGAGCTGATCATCCTGACGGCCAGTCGCTGTCTTCACGGCTGTGAGATCCGGGACATGTTGGACGAGAGAGTCGCTCAACTCTACGCAGATCTGGACGGAGGATTCACACACGAGGCCTGGCTTCTGCCCGGGTGGCTGCCTCTGCCCAGCTTCAGGTACACACACACACGCACACGCACACACACACACACACACACACACACGAGGCCTGGCTTCTGCCCGGGTGGCTGCCTCTGCCCAGCTTCAGGTACACACACACACACACGCACACGCACACACACACACACACACGAGGCCTGGCTTCTGCCCGGGTGGCTGCCTCTGCCCAGCTTCAGGTACACACACACACACACGCACACGAGGCCTGGCTTCTGCCCGGGTGGCTGCCTCTGCCCAGCTTCAGGTACACACACACACACACGCACACGCACACACACACACACACACGAGGCCTGGCTTCTGCCCGGGTGGCTGCCTCTGCCCAGCTTCAGGTACACACACACACACACGCACACGCACACACACACACACACACGAGGCCTGGCTTCTGCCCGGGTGGCTGCCTCTGCCCAGCTTCAGGTACACACACACACACACACACAGCTTCAGACGTTCACGTGACGGTGTGTTTCTGCTGTGTTTATTAGGCGGAGGGATCGGGCACACTTAGAGATCAAGAAAATCTTCTATAACGTCATCAAGAGGCGGAGAGAAGCCCAAGAGAAGAACGACGACATCCTGCAGACGCTCATAGACGCCACGTACAAGTATGTCACCATCACACACACACACACACACACACACACACACACTGCACACAACTGGATCATCTAAACCCCAATGACACTGTTTACCGCAGGGTTTGGTCCCGTTGATCCATGTATAACCTTTGGATTTGCAACCAGTTAAGAAGTTAATCTAAAATGTTAATTTTATAAATTAATTATTTATATACTTTTATATTATTTAAAATGTATAATTTATTACATTTATTATAATTAACATTTTAAAATAGTAATTAAAAATATTAAATCATATTAAATTAATAATTTATAGTAATATTATAATTATAATATACATATATATTTTTTAAATATATATAATTAAATATAAAGTAATATCAAATATAATAAAAAAATATTATTATTTATAAGTACATTTATTTATAAAAAAAATTAATTTGTAATAAATCATTTCCATGTTGGGCGCACACACACACACACACACACACACACACACACTTGTTTATAATGTAAAGGAACATATATTACATATAATATTATATATGTTATATTTATATATATTATATACAATTATAATTAAACTTAAAAATAATACAAATTATGAAATTATAAATTAATATAATGTATTTTATTATATAACTCTAAAGATTATTATAATTATTTTTTAGTATAAAAAAAATCTAATATTCATAGAGATATAAACATTTAATTGACATAACACTCATTTCCATGTTGCACACGTGCACAAACACACTCCATCCTTGAGTTACAGCGAGCAGTTTTGGGTTCGGGTCTTAAGATCCACCAGCGCTCAAAAATCTGTTTACACACTTTATGAACATCCATGAAGACACTGCCATGGTGGTGCATCTGTGAACACAAGCAAATGATTACCAGATCTGAAGCGTGTGTGTGTGTGTGTGTCCCTGCAGAGACGGGCGTCCCCTGAGTGACGACGAGATCGCCGGGATGCTGATCGGCCTGTTGTTGGCGGGTCAGCACACGTCCTCCACCACCAGCGCATGGCTGGGCTTCTTCCTGGCGCGGGACAGAGCGCTGCAGGAGCGCTGCTACGGCGAGCAGAAGGCCGTGTGTGGAGAACACCTGCCGCCTCTACACTACGACCAGGTGATCCTCCTGACCAATCCTCGAGCACTTCAGCGCAGGCCATTCTCTGTGAGGCTCATCGAGAGAAATACTTATAGTTAACTAATAGGGCTGGGTATTGACACAAATTTCACAAATTCGATTCGATTTCGATTCACAAGCTTGCAATTCGATTCGATTCAATATTGATTATTTTGGATATCAGGTACAATACATGGCAAATTTTCTCAGGGAAAACAAATCTCTTAACTAATGCTGTAAACTATTGGAGTCAGTTGTAGCCTATAGGCTTCATTAGCCTACTATAATATTGAAGGTAAAAATTAACTGATTTGTAGCTATACAAACACTTAAATTATTATTATAAAAATAAATAAAAGTGTAAAGTTATATGAAATATAAACATTTAAATGGTGGCTGTCATAAAAACCTTCCCAGATTTATTCAAACATGCATTAAATATCGAAGAACATTAAAAATTATAATGAATATGTAATATGGTGCATATATTTAGCAAAATGCTCCTCTCTAGAGTTAATTTTTCTAGCTGACTAACGAGTTTATGGTCACATATGGTTTTTCTGAGGTAAATGTGACGTTACATTGTTTACAAGTTGTTTTACTGGCGTCTTTCCACGGTTGAAACACCGATTGAGCGATTCCATGTGACATGATACGGATTTCGATAAGTTGTACTTTTTTTTTTAACACACTTTCAGACGTTCATTCATGTTTATTTGGCGCTGTAACTGGTATTATTAAGGCAGAAGAGGAGATCATGTGCTTCTCTTGAGCTGAGCCAGAGCGATCTTACGCCACAGCGCCAATACACTATTTAGGCCTATGTTTTTGAATTTCGTAAGAAAATGGACGTAATTTGAAATCTGAGACTTTATTTAGTATCAATAGTAACAAAGCACGAAGATTATTGCGATTTATTGGATGGGATGCGCGCTACAATGTTCCATTCATTCATCAAATAAAAACAGGATGACTAATCGATTCTTGAGATTTAAGAATCGATATCGGTTCGTAAAAATGAGAATCGATTAATATCGAGAAATCGATATTTTTTACCCAGCCCTATTAACTAATAATAGTTAATATGCAGTCACTTACAATTTAGACGCAATATTGACTGTTTTTTTTCTATTTCACCGACGAAAATAGTTACGAAAGAAAAGTGTGTTTTATTATTGAATGATTCAGCATTTAACAGGTCTCTGTTACCTTGGCAACCAGCAGTAACAATCAGTAACATTACAAACAGCCGAAAGAAAAGGGGAAATGGCCCTCGCCGTATACTGTATATTCATCACCATTTCAGTGTCTTTAAGTCTCTCTTGGGGTCCTCCTCTTGTTTTTGGATATTTCCTCTTATAATATTTCTTTTTTGGCATCTTGTACCATGTTTTTGTATCTTTTCAGTACGTTTCTAACGCTCCGCTCAACGGTCGGATTAACTGTCGTCGCGATCTTTGTCCAAATTACACGTTTCTTCTTCTTTCTACATTCTCCGCTAAATTTTAAAAGTAAAATGTCCTTGTATCTGTTACACTCCTCCAACACACACATATCTCCCGCTGGGGTAAACTGCGCCGAGCGGTTGAATGCGCTTACTCGATCCGCCATGTTTTTTGTTTTGAAAAGTGTCTTAGTTTACCCAGAATGCATTGCAGTGTAGTTCTACTTAAGATAGTCAGAGTCTTTGTGCAACGGTCTGATTTAGACGCCTATCTACTATATCTAAGCCGTAGTCAAAGTCTCTCTTTGTGAAACCGATCCTGGTTTGGTAGGAAAGTCTGACAGAAAAGACCGGAAACGACTGATAGGAACAAAACAAGCATCAGATAAGCACTGCACATCAGTTCAAACGTGGGATTCTGTTCAGAATTATGCAACTTATAAACAATAAAAACCTGTATCAACGTTAAATATCCCATGGAATCATTCCATACAGCTTCAGCTTCAAAAATGTCTATTTTCAGCATTATATTTTTGTATATAGTACAGTAATCTCAAAATATATATATTTTTTATTGGTTTTCTCGAAGTGAAAACTATTCAGATTTTTAATCCCAAATTTAAAAGCATGCTCATCATCATATTCGAGTGGCTCTACAATATGCATGAATCTTATTTTGAGTGTATTTGTGAATAATCGGGCCGAGATGCTAAAGAACTGTCCTGGTCTGTGACGCAGCTGAAAGACTTGAGTTTGCTGGACCGCTGTCTGAAGGAGACGCTCCGCCTGCGGCCGCCTATAATGACCATGATGAGGATGGCCCGGACGCCTCAGGTACGAGCACACACCAACATTACAGGTATTAAAGCCATGAAATGCTTCGGCCTGACCTGCATGCTTCCGCTCCCTCGACAGCGAGTCGGTGAATACATCATCCCGCCGGGACACCAGGTGTGTGTGTCTCCCACAGTGAACCACCGTCTCCGGGACACCTGGGAAGAGCGTGAGGAGTTCAACCCGGACCGATACCTCAACGACAACCCTGCAGCCGGAGAGAAGTTCGCTTACATCCCGTTTGGAGCAGGTGAGAGAACGAGCTCTCGAACGAGCGGGTCGTTTAAGTGTTCAGGCCTCATGAACTGGAAACACGCACTCGCACAGAAAGTAATTCAGCCAAATTGAGGTCTTTTTCGTGGTTTATTGTGCATAAATGGTAAAATGCATATAATATGTCAAAATACACCTTCAAAAACATCCCATTTGAGAGAATGTGCTTTTGAATGGACAGGCCGTTTAACGCTCATCTTTCCCTCGCGGGTCAAATGACCCAACGCCCTAAAATTATACAGATTTTATTTAATTTTTTTCTCATTTTTTAATGCTTTTTTTATGGATAATTTGTAATTTTTTATTTTATTTATCTTTAAGTTAGGAGGTTTGGTCAATAAATAATAAAAAATATTAATTTAAGCACATTCCTACGGAAGCGTATTGCATTCACTTGAAGAAAAAAAAATCTACTCTGTTTTTCTGAATTAATGAGTTAATTATCTCAGAATTACGAGATCATTTTTCATGAAAAAAAAGTTTTTCCTCTGTTTTTCTGAATTAACGACTTAATTATCTCAGAATTACAAGATCATTTTTCATAGAACATTTTTTTTGCTCTGTTTTTCTGAATTAACGAGTTAATTATCTCAGAATTACGAGATCATTTTATGCTCAAACTTTTTTATTAAACCAAATGATATTACAACACAATAGATTACAAATTATTGACACTTTTCTTTTTTACATTAAAACTAAACCAAAGAAAGTACACATCAACTGAAAAAAAAGAATAAAAAATAAAAAAATAATAAATAAATAAAAAATTAAAAAAAAATTAAAAAAATTATAGTGATATAAGTAGATAATATACAATACATGCATACGTATTCACATACGCACACCTATATACACACCATACATTCATACATACATATATATATATACGCGTGCGTACACACACATTTAGTCATGTACTAACCAGGAGGTAGGGTTTTAAGAGAATTGAAGTAAGCTATAAAGGGATGCCATTTACTGAAGGAGCTGCTCTTCCGAGAACTTCTTACTTTTTCCAGTTTCAGAAAAAACATGGTATCCACTAACCATTGGGAGGTTGTTGGAGGCTTATTAGATTTCCAGTGGAGCAAAATACGGCGCCTAGCTAACAAGGAGGTAAAAGATATAACATCCAGTTGTTTGGAATTAAACTGAGACCAGATTTTTGGTACACCAAAGATTGCTATGGTGGGGCAAACATCAATTCTGATTTTTAACACTTTAGACATAATTGTAAAATAACTGACCCAAAAATTTTGCAACATAGGACAAGTAAAAAACATATGACTCAAATTGCACAAAGGTGCATGACATCTGTCTTCAACATTAGGGAATATTTCAGATAGCCTGGCCTTAGAAAAATGAATTCTGTATAGTACTTTAAATTGTATGAGACCAAGACGTGCACAAATTGTACTAGAACGTATTCTGTCCAGAGCGCCTGCCCACCAATCCTCTTCAAAACTTTCCCCCAACTCCCCCTCCCACGCTCTTTTAATTCTGTCAATAGAACAATCACTTAGACCTAAAAGACAACCATAAATTCTTGAAATTTGTGACTTGTGATACGGATTGAGTTGCAGAAATTCTTCCCAAACTAGCAACGGGGGCAAAGATGGGAACCTAGAAAATAAGGTAGCAGAACAGTGTCTAATCTGCAAATAACGAAACAAGTGGGACTCTGACAACTCCAAATCAGAGGATAACTGTTCATACCTACAAAATGTACCATCTCTGTACAGGTCTCGAAAACATCTCAAGCCTTTTGCATGCCACTGCTTAAATACAGGATCAGAAAGAGATGGAGGAAATATATGATTTTCCAATAGTGGCATCAATGTTGAGGCAGAATTGAATTTAAAGTGTCGCCTAAATTGGCACCAGATACGAAGTGTAGATACAACAACTGGGTTATGTGTCAGTGACGCCGAAGAGACATTACAGGATAAGGGTGAAGTAAGCAAAGCCATTGGAGAGGTAGGTGTACATGAATTTACTTCCAATCTGCACCATGTTGTAGTGGACGAACTAAGCCAAAATGTCATCTTGTGAATGTTTACTGACCAATAGTAAAACATAAAATTAGGTAAAGAGAGCCCACCATTCAGATGGCATCTTTGAAGCAACGATTTCCGAATTCGGGGCACTTTACCACCCCACAAGAATTCAGTCACAATCTGGTCAATGGATTTAAAAAACTTTTTAGGAAGAAACAGAGGAATGCACTGAAAAGCGAAAAGAAACTTAGGCAACACGTTCATTTTCACTACATTAATCCGACCTATCAATGATAGAGGCAGATTGCTCCACCGCTGAAAGTCAGACTTGGCCTGTTCTAACAGAGGGGTGAAATTACCAGATACAAGAGAAGAAATAGAATGAGTGATATTGATGCCAAGGTATCTAAATCCTGTTCTGCTTAGTTTAAATGGAACATCTGACTGCAAAAGACCCTTAGCCAATGCATTAATCGGGAAACACTCACTTTTGTGGAGATTTATTTTATATCCAGAAAAAGAGCCAAATTTTTGCAACGTGGATAAAATAACTGGAAAATTTGGAATTGGATTGGAAACATATAATAAAAGATCATCAGCATATAGTGATAATTTAATTTCAATGCCTGACCTCACCACTCCCTGCAATAACGGGGAGCACCTCAAAGCAATCGACAGAGGTTCAATGGCCAGGGCAAAAAGCAAAGGGGAAAGTGGGCACCCTTGTCGTGTTCCACGTCCAAGCCTAAAATAGGTGGATCTATTGTCATTGGTGTGCACACTCGCCTGAGGTGAAGCATATAAAAGACGTATCCAATTTATAAATGTATCTCCAAATCCAAATTTTTGAAGCACAGTGAAAAGATACTCCCACTCTACCCGATCAAATGCTTTTTCAGCATCAAGAGAAATAACAACCTCAGGTGTCTTGGCGGAATGTTTAAGATTAATTATATTTAAAAGAGTACGGACATTAAAAAATAACTGTCTCCCCCTGATGAACCCAGTTTGCTCCTCAGATATAATCTTTGGAAGTATGTTTTCAATACGAGATGCCAACACTTTGGCCAGGATCTTGGCATCCACATTCTGTAAGGAAAGGGGCCTGTAAGAACCACATAGCTTAGGATCCTTATCCCTTTTAAGCAACAGAATTATGGACGCTTGTGTAAGTGTTTCTGGTAGGAAACCACGCTCTAAAGATTCCGTATACACTGACAGAAGTAATGGGGATAATTTGTTCTGAAATTTTTTAAAAAACTCGACAGGAAAACCATCGGGCCCAGGAGCTTTATTACCTTGCATCCTTTTAATTGCCTGATTAATTTCGTTTGCGTCGATAGGTGCTTCGACATCCCCAGCGACAGCTGAATCAATCGTGGTAAAATTTAAGTTCTGCAAAAAGGCATTCATATCATGGGCATCAGACGGGGATTCAGAAGCATATAACAATGAATAAAAAGACTTGAAGGTGGCATTAATACCTTCAGGTTCAGATATCAAATTACCAGATAGGTCCTGAATCTGTGGAATCAAACGGCTAGCTGCTTGACGTCTTAACTTATGAGCTAAGAGGCGACCAGCTTTATCACCATGTTCATAATAAGTACTCCGTGAATGCAAAAGAAGCCGCTCAGCATCTTCAGTCAGAACGAGATCAAGTTCAGCTTGTAAATCGAGACGTTGTTTAAATTTATCTTGTGAAGGGGAATTGGCAAGCAGCTGATCAATTTGAAAAATATTTGAAGTGAGTTCACGTATCCTCATGTTGCGAACTCTCCTTGAGTGTGCGGAGTAAGAAATAATCTGTCCCCGAAGGTAAGCTTTAAGTGTTTCCCACAGCAATGAATAAGTAACCACCCCATCTTGATTTGTAGCCAAAAAATTGTCAATGGAAGTTGAAATAAAATCAATGAATTTTCCATCAGACAACAGAAGAGTATTCAACCTCCATAGTGATGAATATCTAGGCTGCACAGAGAACTGTATATCAACCGTAAGAGGGGCATGGTCAGATATAACAATAGCATGGTAAGAAACCGATTTTACTTTAGATATCAGAGAGCCATCTATAAAAAAATAATCAATACGCGAATATGACTGATGGGCTTGCGAGAAGAAAGAAAATTCCTTATCTTGAGGGTTATAAAATCTCCATGGGTCAACACACCCATTTTTGGACATAAATTCCACTATTGATTTAGACATAGATGATGGAGTCATTGTTCTGGAACTAGAACGGTCCAAAGCAGGATCGATTACACAATTAAGATCACCAGCAAAAATAAGTAGATGACTATTTAATGAGGGGAGGATCTCAAATAACTTGTTTATGAATCCTGGATCATCAAAATTTGGTGCATATACATTGACAAGAATCACAGGATTTTGAAGTATGGTGCCAACAACAATCAAATATCTTCCATTTTTATCAGTTATTACCTTAGTAGAAGAAAACTGAACCCTTTTATTAATCATTATCGCAACCCCTCTGGCTTTTGAATTGAAATCAGAGTGAAAAACTTCCCCTATCCACGTACACTTAAGCTTCAGATGATCTTGGTTTCTCAAATGTGTCTCCTGTAAGAAAGCAATGTCTGTATTTAACCTTTTCAAATGTGCATATATCTTTGACTTTTTGATGGGGCTTCCCATGCCATTAATGTTCCAAGTTACAAATCTTATTGCAGAACTGACTGGATGTGGCAAATAACCATGATAATTAGCCATCTACTTTGAGGGGAAAAACCTCCTGTAAGACAAAGAGAAAAAAAAAAAAGGAAAAATTATGAAGAAAAAAAGAAAAAAAAAAAAAAAAAAAAAAAAAAAGGGAAAGGAGAAAAAAAGGAAAGGGGAAAAAGAAATATAAAGAATTAAAGAAAAAATAAAAGGGGAATTCAACCCTCAGAACATTCCCACCCACCCACGCACATACCCTATCCGCATCCCCAAATGACGCGGACCCATGTGCAGACTCCAACTGGAGCCAATCCAACGGTTCACTGCTCACGATTAGAGATAAACAAAAAACAAACAAAAAAAGCTGACCTGCAGAATATGACATTCAAAATTGAAAACGCACATTGGAACATATTTAAAAGATAACCCCAATCAATTCAGCTTCGGTAGCAAATAATATTGCACTTGTCCAGTCCATAAAAAAACAATTGAATAAAAACAAAATTCCCAAGTATGGTACTTAGACAGCAAACATAAAAATAAAATAAAAAATAAAAATCGTTTGCATTTGAGACACTATGCAAAGCTCAACAATAAAATAAAAAAGTAATAAACAGTCACATTCGGGTGTCATAACAGTGTCTCATGTATAATGCCATGGGTTAATTTACCCAACACAACTCACATGCCTAAGCGTACACCTTCATGCGTCACTTGATACATTCTGACGAGGCTGTAAAGAGTTGACATATGATTTAGCCAGCTCCGGTGAGTTGAACTGTCTTTCGACACCGTTGAAAGTAACACGTAGCTTAGCTGGATGAAGAAAACCAAACTTGACTCCAGGTATTGAGCGAAGTAGCTGACGAACCTCATTGAAGGCAGACCGGGCACGAGCAGTCTTTGCTGTGAAATCCGGGAAGATGGATATACTCATATCACCAACTTTGAGCTGTTTCTTCTCACGTGCCCGCTTTAAGACCTCGACACAGTCAGAGTGATAATGTAGTCTTGCCACAATGACTCGCGGACGCTCCCCCGGTTTTGGCCTGGGTTGCAATGTGCGATGTGATCTGTCAATGATGATGTCCCTCTCGATGTTAAGTGCCTCCTTGAGTAGCTTGGAAATCGCCGCGGTTGTAGATGGATTTTCTTCTGGAACTCCTATTATCCTTATATTGTTACGACGGGATCTAGCTTCCAGATCTTCACACTTGTCTTCTAGTTTAACCACAACGGCCGAAAGAGACTCTACTTTTTCCCGAAGCTCGGTGACGTCATCCGAACAGGTAGAAAGGGAGTGTTCCATGTCCTTCACTGTGCCTTTCAGTGCCGCCATGTCCATCTGCATCGAAACCATACTATTAGAAAACTCCGCTTTAACTGCCTGAAGCTCGCTCTTGATGGTCGCCAAGTCATCGCCCAACATGGACTGCAACTCGGAGCGAAATATTCCGGCCAGATCTTTGCGCAACGAAGTTAGTATCTCCGTTTTAAGGGACTGCATATCATCTGAAGTTGTCCCAAGCTCAGCGCCCGCCTCCGGGCTGTCTGGATCCCGCTCTGCCGTGGATGCACTAGCGGTAGGCCGCTGTGCCGATGCCCGCGCGTGACTACCTTTACTGCCTTTATTTTTCATTTTTGTTGCAAGAGATGAAAAAGCATACAACGCCAATAACAAATGATACGCATAGACACAAATTATTAAGTTGAAATGTGCGTAAGAAATTAAATATGCAAAAATTCTGCAGGAGCTACCGCGATCACGACTCACTCCATAGTCTACCTAACCGGAAGTCACGAGATCATTTTTCATGGGAAAAAAGTTTTTGCTCTGTTTTTCTGAATTTCTGAGTTTTTGAGATAATCAAGTCATTAATTCAGAAAAACAGAGCAAAAACTTTTTTTCCATGAAAAATTATCTAGTAATTCTGAGATAATTAACTCGTTAATTCAGAAAAACAGAGTAGATTTTTTTCTTCAAGTGAATGCAATACGCTTCCGTACATTCCTCTCATTCTTTCAACTTAAATTAAAAATAACTCGCTTAACCCTTTTAATTCAGCTCTAAATATCTTACATCGGGTGTCTTTGCCGAACTCTTGTGGAAAAAAATGACATACCATGATATTTCATGACTCTTGATGATATAAGCCTAGTTAAGGACTGATGTGAAATGTGTTTTTCTGTGTAGTAGTAAAGCCTTTAATAAAGGCCCGGCTGAGATGTTAACAATGCTTGTGGTTTCCCTGGTTGGTCTTTTACAGGTCGCCATCGTTGCATTGGAGAGAATTTCGCCTACGTGCAGATAAAAACAATCTGGTCGACGTTGCTGAGACTGTACGACTTTGATCTAGTAGACGGACAATTTCCTGCTGTGAACTACACGACCATGATCCACACGCCGCACAACCCCGTCATCAGATACACACGGAGGAACACACAACCACAGTGATCACTTCTGCAGCTTCTCAGCACAAGTGTTGAGTTGGTTAACTTGCATCAGATTCTGCATGTTGACAGATTTAGTCTGCCGTCTCTTACTCAGATCTTAAACATTGTGTTTTTTTTATTTAATAAAACAAAATTAAAATAAAAACTCTTTATTTTACCCAAACTGAACTGCATCGCCCAGATACTCAATGACGCACTTTCAGAAACCACTGATAACAAACACCCACCAATGTTCAGTTTTAGCACAGACGCACTAGATGTCCAAAATATTGTCGTCTAAATGTAATCGTCTCTAATTGTACCATTTTTTGCCCAACAATACTCAAGTGTTCCCTGTTAACATACTTTTTAGCGTGCAAGTGCAATGAAAAACTAGGAAGTTGTTTTTTTCTAACTTTGTAATGGAAACTGAATTCACCGCTGTCACAACACTGCTGTCTGTTCTACTAACCACACAAGCTCCACTTCTGCAGCACAATAACCACACCAACTCATCATTCTTTACATCTCCATCTTTACTGCGCATTTATCAATAACTGTTCTGTCCTATTCCTACTCTTCCACCTCAGAAACACAGACTAACACATCCAAGCCTAGTTTCATTAATGCATTAATTCTTCATGTAAATAAGAATGGATTTAGGTTGATTCTGTAATATTAAATATTATTTTCGACAGTTGTTATTTTTTAGGTTATCATTTTTTCCGTGTTCTGTCATCTGTGGTGAATGTGATGCAGAGCTGTGGGAGGGATTAGAGCTGAAAAGATCTATTGTAAATCTTTCTATCACTCATTGACAATTACAGCATTTGTGTTGTACTTCTGGAGTATAAAGCAAAAGGCAAAGCACTTTCGTGTGGGATTGTAACGAAAGCTGATTTAATACTGTGGGATTATCTGACAGGTGAGTCTCCATACGTTTATGTTGCATCTCATTTAATACTAAAACCTCAAAAAGAGATCCTTTATTCATTAGGAACAATTAATGCACATTTAATGTGAACAAAACTGAATCTGCTTTGGAAACTACTTTAAACATCAGATGAATCAAGTCACGATGACTTTAAGGTGCTAGAAATAAAATTAAAAAATTACTAAAATAAATGAATACTTTTTCAGCAAGGATGCACTGATCAAATGTGACATACATTTATAATGTAATAAAAGATACATTTAGCTTTTTATAAACTTTATATTCATCAAAAAAAAAAAAACTGAATTTATGCCATGGAATCCACAAAATCATTAATGCACATTTAATGTGAACAAAATGAATCTGCTTTGAATCCACATCACTTTAAACATCAGATGAATCAAGTCATGATGACTTTAAGGTGCTAGAAATGAAAAAAATATTACTGTAATAAATGAATACTTCATCAAATGTGACAATCCACTTATAATATGACATAAGATGAATGTTGCTTTTTTGAAATTTATATTCATCAAAGAACACTTAAAGAATTTTAAGTGGTGGTTTCCACAAAAATATGAAGCAGCAAAAACTGTTTTCAACATTGATAATAATCGGAAATATTTCTTGAGCAGCAAATCGGTATATTAAAATGATTTCTGAAGGATCATGTCAGGGCTGAAACTAACGGAAGCACCAATGGCGCCAATACGGTGGCACTAGCATCTGGTTTGGTATCAACAATAATTCATTATTAATGATAATATTTATTATATTACATGTTTTTGTTTCTCTTGAAACTGCATATTTCACAGTAGCTTGAGGGTATCTTTACATGACAACAATGTAATAAAAATGGAAAAGTTTTATTTTTGTACAGATGACAACATTTAAAAAAAAAATCATTGTTCAAACAGATACGCAAAAATGCCAGGCAAGTAGTTCATTTTGTAAAAAAAAGAAAGAAGATTTTCTTTTTAAAGTAAACAAAAATTGGTGGTCATTTTGTAAAAAAGAAAAGAAAAAAAGACTATACGCCTGCGCACATATGCATTCTTTTACCGAACACTTGCTCGTAATACACGTGCATATCATTATCGTTTTAAAAAACTTGCACTAAGGAATCTTTTTTTAAAAGTTTGTTTTTTAGGCCACCAAAACACCATTGTAAATGAATGGCCAAAACTCTGTCAAATTCTGTTTTTAGTTGAAAACGGTGTCATGTAAATGGCCCCAGAGATGCGGATGTAAATTTATTTTCATTAACAAAAATTGTAACAACCTAACTTTTTTAGGGTACAACTTAAATACTTGACCGAGTTAGATTAAAATTGTTCTTCCAAAGCATCACATATTTGTAGACCATGATAACCACTGCTTAACTCACACATGGCACCAACCTCTAGTAAAAAGTAAGTATATCATGTCTGTGGTATTTGTAAAAAAAAAAACAAAAAAAAAAAACAGTAGCCTAAACATTTTGTATAAAAACAAATGCACAAAAACTGTTCATTTAATAACAATAACAACAAATTCCATTACTCATTTAATAGAGAGCCTAAGTCCCTCCCCTCCACTTCCGGCTCATGGGACCTTATTTCGGAAAAAATATGTGTGGTATGGTAGTCAATGGCGAGAGACAACTTATCTTTTTATTCCGTCTGAACTGTGCCCTGAATTACACATATGATGTTTGTCAATTTAAAAGATAATTCTGAAAGTCAAGAAAGTCGCAGTTTGTCATAAAACAGAAGAGTAACATTTAGTTTTATGTGAAAATCGCTCAATGAACTACATCTCCCGGGAAGCGAAACAACGAGCGAGATCCGCTGCTGGTGTGTGTGCAGTCTGGTACAAAACACTCAGGCATGACGGCGTAACGTTACGATTATAACGTTAGACAATAGAAACAATGACAGAAGTTAGCTTCAGTAAAGTTAGCTTCAGTAAAGTTAGCTTCATTCATTGGGAGAAAATGTGCGCCTTTTGGGTTTGTAGTCTTTGTAATGACGTATTTTCACAGTCTTATACCTCAACAGTTTTACATCAAACTGCGACTTTCTTGACAAATAATAATAATAATAAAGTGTATCGTTAAAATTGACAAACATCATATTTGTAATTCAGGGCACAATTCAAACGATATCAAAATATTTGTTGTCTCTCGCCATTGACTACTAGGGGTGTAACGGTACACAAAAATCACGGTTCGGTACGTACCTCGGTTTTAAAGTCACGGTTCGGTACGTTTTCGATACAGCAAAAAGAAAGAAATGCCAGAGAAATGTCCTATTTGTTAAAAGAAAAAGAAAAATTTTAATAACTGAGTTTTCCTACATCTTGAAACTTTCAGGTTTATAAATGGGGGTCATCTTTGAAGGATGAACAAATAATGTTTTGGTCATCACATTAAAAATAACATTTAAATATATATTTATTTATATATTATTTGAGTTATATATTATTATTCGTTCCGCTTTCATTACGTTTGCCATTTGATGTTGCGCAACGTTGTGGTGGTCTCGAATACATGTACCGTTACACCCCTATTGACTACCATACAATATTTCTCCGAAATAAGGTCCCATGGTGGTCGACCGGACTTAGGCTCTCTATACATGCCTAAATTAATAACTGTCAGGAATTCTGAACAAGAGAGGGCTCAAACGCAGAGATTAGCGATTGAGTGCAGCCATCTTGAAGGACATCTCAATTCATAAGGGCAGATCCTTTGAGCGCTGCTGATGACACTGTGAAGTGACGCTCGAGAGATCAAGTATAAAGGAAAGGAAACGAGGATGCACAAAGAAGAATTGAGAAGCGCCCTTTGGCTGGTCAGAGTTGAGACTCCAAAGATAAGATGGCCAAGGATGGAGACAAGGCAGCGGCTCTGGAAACCAGAGGTTTGACAGTTGGTGATGAGACTTGATGTAGCACCAGACCAGCACTAACAGATGCTACATGACCGATATGACTGGACCAGTAACGTGCGGTGAAGTCTTGTCATGGGTAGGCTGTGACCTACCAATGTGGCATATTCACAGGGGCGTAATTTGCCGCTGCGATCGGTGGCGTGGTTACAGTGTATCTTGCGGCTCACGCAGTCTTCACATGCACGCGCACTTCAATCCGTTTTGGAGACTCTTTGTTCGTTCCGGTGAAATCACAAAACAAAAATGCCCACAAACGTGTCCCTGCTTAATATAATACAACCACTGATGAACATTTTCGGTTTTGATGAGAAAAAAAAAACCTATACGATTGCGGATTAGAACCCAGAACCTCTGAAATGCGTGGCAAAAGTTCTACCACTGGACCATTAAAGGACTCACGTCAAGTTGTCGGATCTATATATTTATTCACATGATTCATTTATTTATACACACTTATGCGCATGCACACACACACACCTGTCCCACCCACTTTTTAAAACTAAGTTAAGCCACTGTATATTCATTCGGGTAATTTAGCAACCCAAGTTAATATCAGGCATGATCAAATCGCTGCCTGCATACAGAGCAAAGTCAGAATCGCGGATTCAGTGAGAGCGAGTGGATCACGGGATATGAAGCAGTCTTGGTCTCTGCCTCAATCTTGATAATTCAAGACAGCATGAGAACTGACTGCGCATGCGCAAATCTCCGTAAACTACGTTCTATGGACCAAAGAGGCACTGCGAACCTCTGCCTCAATGGCCATGGCCTTGAATTTCCTGCATAAAACAATGGTTTTTAGGAGCAAACTATGGCAAAAGGAGTATTATATGAGTATTCCTGATTTTTTTTTGTTACAAAAATTAATATTTGGACTAAAAGAAATGCAATTAATAATGTGGTGAATTAATAAAGCTCTTGGAATTAATAAATGTAATGTCAACATTTCCTTTGGTGAGGCACTGCCTACCCTGCCTACCCTGACCGCACGTCCCTGGACTGGACCTTAAAACAAAGGAAAATAAAAAACAAAACTGCAACCTTGCTGGAAACTAGAGAGAAAAATAATGACTAAAACTAGAGAGAAACAAACGATATTTTATTAAAGATGAACTGAACTGAAAAAAATCGACGTTGATAACGTGTTGTTTATGACAATTAAAAGTAAATTACACTAAAAATTTTAATAAAAAATATCAATATAGCTTTCTTTAAGCAACACAAAAATTGCGCTTGTTACGCTGGCAGTTTCGATGACGTCACTGGCATGGTAGGACACGCAGAGGTGCATAGGCAACAGCTGCAGGTCCTAATACACAGAC